TCGAGTTTGTGATGCACCACAAACTGTGGTCACTCTCATTCACATATGAAGTATTTGAACTTTTCCTTCATTATCTTTTCTTCTCATGAACTCCCTGCTACACCCAATAAGCATGTCTTTGTCAACATTTTCTTTTTTTTTAATATAAATTTAAAGAAATATGATAGAAGTCTATGGATGACTATGAAATATTCAAGTGAAGAGATTGTTAATATAGTCAAAGAGTGCACCTAATCAATTTAGTATCTATAAATGTAAAAGTAACTTTTCAGGTCTGCTAACTGTTTTACGTTCAGAGAAATTGAATGTAACAAGATAAGTAGGTGGTAAAACAAGTAGGTGGTAAATTCAAGCATGTGGTAAATGCAAAAAAATAGTAAAAAATTAGGTCACAATTTTTCTATAGTAAAAAAATAACTTCAGCCTCGAAAGTTTTCACATAATCAATGTAAATGCAAAAGTAACTTTTCGGAGCATTTACTATATGGTCAGAGAAATTTAAATGAAAGATGAAGTAGGTGATAAAAGACAAAAAGTAGCTAGTAAATACAAAAAAGATAAGTATCAAGTTAAAAAAATACCAAAACATGCTGAAGTTTTTGTCGTAAAGTTTTTTCAAAAATTCAGCAGAAGGTGCTAAAGTTATTTAGTTCATTTCTAAAAACTTCAGCACATAATAAGTTGAAGCTTTTGTCCTGGGTTCAATAGTTTTGTCGTAAAGCTTTTCAAAAAACTTCAGCAGAATGTGCTGAAGTTATTTAGTTCATTTAAAACTTCAGGACATAATAAGCTGAAGTTTTTTTTCCTGGATTTAATACTTTTGTCGTAAAACTTTTTCAAAAAATTTCAGCAGAAGGTGCTGAAGTTATTTAGTTCATTTAAAACTTCAGGACATAATAAGCTGAAGTTTTTTTTCCTGGATTTAATACTTTTGTCGTAAAACTTTTTCAAAAAATTTCAGCAGAAGGTGCTGAAGTTATTTAGTTCATTTCTAAAAACTTCAGCACTTAATAAGCTGAAGTTTTTGTCCTGGATTCAATAGTTTTGTCGTAAAGCTTTTTTAAAAAATTTCAGCAGAAGATGCTGAAGTTATTTAGTTCATTTCTAAAATCTTCAGTACTTGATAAGCTGAAGTTTTTGTCTTGGATTCAATAGTTTTGTCGTAAAGCTTTTTCAAAAACTTCAGCAGAAACTACTAAAGTTATTTAGTGCATTTCTAAAAACTTCAGCACTTAATAAGCTGAAGTTTTTACCCTATAGTCGGCACTTTTGTTATGAGTTTTAACCAAAACTTCAGCCTAAAAAGCAGAAGTTATTTACTTCATGCTGAAGTTTAGCATGTTGAATTTCAACAAAAATGTACTTAAAATTCATGATAAAAGACAAAAACATATTTGATTCAACCCAAGTCAACAAAAAACTAATTAATATGAATAGAACAAAAATTTAAAAGACAAACATCACATAATTCACACAAATTAATGTATATTCACAAAATCCAAATATTGTGCAGCCAATTCTCTATTCAAAATATTCACTCAGAGTCTCTTCATAATCTCCATAATCATGTCCTAGTTACTCTTCTTGAGTTTCATAACCGCTATCTTGTTTTCACTTTCCATGAGTCCAAAGATTTGCAGTCAATTTTCTCCTGAATGTCAATGCCTGACTTTGATTGAAATTGAAGACATCTTTTTTCTTCAACCGCATATCGATGAACTTAAGAGCAAATACATCACAATCAATACTACAAAAGGAACATGAAACAGAAATTGAAGAATAGTTAACACAAGAACAAAAAATATTAAACATAAGATACATGGTAAAACATATGCAAAACACGTACTTGTTACCCTGCAGCGGTGTGTTCATCCACTTAATTTGAAATATTTTTCACAGGACTTTCCCCATAACTTTTATTGTGTGTGCCAAAGTCCAAGCGTCGGAGACAGTGTGGGATCAACCGGGCATAATTTTTGACATGTTCAGGCGCACACTGCTCAGTCTAAACAACTGGAACGTTCCTCTTCAACTTGTTCTTGAACATGTTGATCGCCTTCAAAAGTCGCTTCCTCACGTGTAGCATTTTCATCTGCAATTATGCGATGCATCATGAATAGCATTAATTTCCGATAGATGTTCTAAAGAGTCGTTCATCCTATCATATTGTTGATAGTTCGTCAAATCAAAAGTGTCATCATCCATTCCATTTGATTTGTTGACAATCTTAAACAACTTTTCAAACTTATCATCGAAGTATTCCTAGAAAAAAAATTACTAACAATGATTAATCCGAATAATATTAGCAGGAAAAAAAAAGACTTCTTTATAAATTAGCTTAGCTTTACTTTTTCAAAAATCGCATCCACAAAGCAGATCGCTCATCCCGTTTAAATTGATCAACAACTTCTTTTGAGATCGTGCTTCTTTCTTTTTCTGCATGCCTTTGAACCTCCATCGTTACCCTCTAGTATAGAGACACAGAACAAAAATTTAGATATAAAAGAATGTTGTTGTTCAGCAAATACAGAACACAACTTCAACTATTATAATGTTGAAGTTCATCACAAACAGAACAAAACTTCAGCTCAAAAACATGCTGTAGTTTTACAAAAACACAACTAAAAAACTTCAGCTCAAAACTTACAGAACATATTGTGTCGACTAATTCATTGTCAAACGTCATTGTAGAACGGTAAGAACGACTCTGGGTACGAGATGATTCGCCAATAACAGGAGTTCGATTCTCTTCTTTTGATCGACTCCGACTACGTGGTGATTCGCCAATAACAAGAGTTCGATTCGCTTCTTTTGATCGACTTAGACTACGTGGTGATTCGCCAATAACAAGAGTTCGATTCGCTTCTTTTGATCGACTTAGACTACGTGGTGATTCACCAGTTGAAGGAACCGCATTATGTACCTTTGAACGAATCCGGTTGCACGGTAATTGTCCAATTAAATGCATTGAATTCAATTCCTCTTCTGTAGGAATTATATCCAATACCCTAAACGTGTGATATCTCTGTTTAATACAAAAAAGTATATTATGAGAAAAAAAACTAATACGTCAACATATTAACACAAAGACAAAAATAAAAAAATTAACTTATAGCATGATTACTGAAGTAATCCTCATTAAGTTCGTTATATTTAGGCTCTCACACACATACATAACGTAACATCCTAGGAACCTGAGGGGTATCAAGGTACTCATCCTCTCTTAAATACTTCTCCCGAATATTTGGAAAGCGCTCATAGAACCAAGCACATAACGGAAATGGATATCCACCAACTTTATACTCAGTTGAACGAAATTTATTCTGCTTGTCCAAGGCATGTTTCAGTGAGTAAATGAGCTTCTCATAACACACATTAACCCAAGGATATTCAGCACAAGCCTTATCATTTTCAACAATAACTGCATACTCCTCCAGCACAGATGATTCAGTCTTTTTTCAAACAAAATAGACTCCACAACAAGAATTTCCATAAGCTTCACAGCATCTTCATCACTCTCGAATACGTGTCTGAAATTCACAGCATTCTTTGGAATTGCATTCCGAATCATAAAATCTTGAATATCCTTCAAGGTCACACCCTTAGACTTCCCAAAATAGCGCTTCAGAATATTGCTCTCTCGATTAATTGGTTTTTCAACATTATGTGTTGTGATCCCCAAACCGCACATAATGTAAAAATCTTCAAGGGTGGAGGAAACATCATGGCCAAAAATCTTGAAACTAATGGAGTCTCGATCATTGGTGAATATTCGAGAAAAACACAAACAATAAACCAACTTCATGTTGCATTTGAAATTCTCCATAGCCATAATATATCTAAATGTACCATTATTAAGCTTTCCCGTTGTGCAGGAGTCAAGAAACTTTCAATTAAACTCTTCAAATTGTGGTTTCCCTTCTAGTAACCACGACAGTTAAACCAATCTCCAAACTCATAATATTTATCCCCTGGTTTTGTAAGTGGAGCAGCATGGACTAAAGGACATGTGGGTATTATAGGTTGTTTAGGTGTTTTAGGATCTTTAGGTGCATTAGCTGTTTTAGGATCTTTAGGTGCTTTAGGTACATCTGTTCAAAAAAAGTAAAAGATACAAAAAATAACATCAGAACATTATCAAAAAAATTAGTTAAAACTTCATCTCTAAGAAGGCTGAAGTTCACTAGTTACAAAACAAAAACTTCAGCTCCTAGAGCTGAAGTTCACCAGTTACAAAACAAAACATTCAGCAAAAACATGTTGTAGTTTTTACAAAAAATAAAACACAAATTCAACTCCAAAATAATGTTGAAGTTCATAAAAAATATAACAAAAAACACAAAACACGAAACAAAACTTCAGCTCCTAAAACTAAGGTATCATTGAAGTATTATAAACTTCACAGTTTAATAGTATCATCTATTTAACTCTCAAAATTTTTAAAAATTTCGACGTCTCCAAACATTGAAGAATTTAAAATTTTCATCAAAAACACAAACACACATTCAAAAAACCTAAAAACACAATCGTAAAAGTAAAACTATCGCACTAATAAAACTAAACCCTAGGAAACTATTTTATCATAAATACATGACTATCAAAACCAAAACCAGAAATTAAATCGTAAAAATTAATACTAAAATAAAACCCAGAAAGTTAATGCAATGTACCTGTGATTATACGTAATGTTATTGGGGAACAAACAGTTGAAAAATAAAAAACAACGACGAAACCTGTTTGATTTCAGAGAAGAACAAAGCAAAAAACGTGAATAACGGGAGAGACAGAGACAGTAGAGTACTAGCGTATACTTGAAGAGAAAGTAGTCTTTTAATAAAGAAGAGCAAAATAGTCTTTTTAAAAAGCTTTTAACAAAAACACGAGTACGGGTGCAAACAGAAAAACAAAGCGGCTACAAGTTAAAAAGGGGCGATCAAATAGGGCGCCCCATGCAATTTTTACCTAAAGACATAACCAAGTAAATAAAAGTATTTGCTCCCTAAAAACCTAATACCATCTCCACAAACGAATTGCCTGTGAAAAAAATAATAATAACATCCAGTGATATGCCATTTTGAAGCATCTTATTTTTCAAGAACATAGCTTCATTTGGTTTACTGTCTACAAATTAATAGTCTATACAAGGAAGCTCGAAACTGTGCCTCTAGGTAGCCGGCTATGAGAAGTGCATTCGTAACTCAGCAAAAATTTATAAATACGTATTTCACTATCGGAGCAAAAAATGTGTAATTTCTCCCATGGAACGTTGAAAACTTTCTAACCACGACAAACTACAGATCAGTAGGGAGCAACTCATCCAAGGACGATTTTCCTTGAGCCTACAAAACGTAAAGCAAGCTTCAGAATTTGCTGGAGCCTGAAGCTGAAGTTGTCTGGCATCGAGAATCAAGCAGTTTTCACTTTCCGAGATGGAGGACGGCGGAACAGACTGATAAGATCGTCAAGACCCTGTTGAGCAATACCAGTCACATTCAGTTCTCTTTTCTTTCCATTAGATTTTTCCAGTCTTTCTTTTAGCTTCTTTTATTCGTACGGGGTTTCAATGTTGTGCAACAGTAATACAAGGAAGAACACAAAATTAGCAAACCAGAAGGAAGTTATAAGGGATTTAATAAACTAAGAGTCATACCCTGGTGGTGATGACAAGAAAACTGAAAAGTGTAATCAAGTATGATCCGAGAACTAACAGCAAAAGCAAGTCGAATGTCACACTGGCAACCTACAATAAGAAGAAAGTAAGGTGTTAGATTTCTACAGGTAATGAGGAAAATGATTTGCCACAATAAGCTCAAAGGCAAATCAAGTAACATGACTCTAGATTAATAGAGGTGCAAGATGAAACAGAAAGGCCACGTTAGCCAAGAGAGGCCTCAACAAAATAGACCTATCTGTTAAAATTACAATTGGACCTAAACAATTCAACAATGATCAATGATGAAATATATTGTACATTAACAATTTCATCTCTTACAACCGAACCATTCTTTTCCACACTTCTCTATCAAACTAAATATAATACTACATTTTTGAACATTTACTTTTATAAACCATGCAGTTAAAGCAGATTTAATCTATTGGGATGGAATAAGTATATTTTGAGAACATCTTTTTTAATGTCTTCTATGTTTATTGGACATTGCTATAAAGGTAGCTTACGTGGAAATATTGATCTAATTATCAAGACATTTCCTTCATCTACCTTCCGCAGACACCTCCTTGCCTTTTTAACTATTAAATACAAAAACCATTATAGACATGACTACTAGGAAGGTAGTGGCAAGGAGACAGAAGAGGGAGTGGTCTACGCACCTGATATATATGTAACCTGCCACTAATTGAATCGTAAAAAGTAAACACTCCATCTAATGTCTCATGCTGTATATTCACCTCAGCAGTATGATCAGCTAATTCCTGCAAGAGATAGAAAGCACATGTCGTCAAAATGAGAGAAAAAGATATGGCTACCAGAAGGAGCTCAAATTGATATATGCCAATGCCAGAGTTATTTTTTCTTAAATGATTATGAAATGAATATGCCAGTGCCGGAGTAGTATCTCTTTTTCAAATAAATGCCCTCAAACATATTGTAGTAAAACCAAAACCTGCTTGATGACCAATAATCAGAAGCTCAAATGGCAGGTAGCACTTTAACAGGTCATACATGTGTATAAAACCAATAGACCAACTAGTTTGAAACCAAGCAAAACCAGCTCAATTTGGCTGGCCCATCCTCACCTTTTTCAGAACATCCTTATCCCAAAGTTTATTTCGACCAACAGAAAAGCCCTCAAAAAAAGAATTCCTTTTCTGGATAAATAGAAAAGCTTTTAAAAATAATATACCAGAACCAAAATCTGCTTAATGACCAATAGTCAAAATCTTACATCCAGGGGGGACGATAATAGGTCAAACATGTGGATAACACCAATGGACCAACTAGTTCGCGACCAAGCAAAACCAAGTTTGTTAGCCCATCCTCGTCTTTCTTAGATCATCCTTGTCCTATTGGGCTGATTTGTACCAACAGAAAAGTCACCGCAACCAAGTGCTTCAAGCCTAGTTGTGACCTAAACTTCATCTCCGACCATGTTACAAAGGAGAGACATTCAGAAGATAAAGGAGAAGCTCACATGGTTCCACATATATCATTACCAGCAAGAGAACTGATTCTCTGAAAAATCAGAATCCAGTTTCCTTTTCCCGTAAGATTAAACAGTAATAAAATACCCAACACATCCAGTTTTCTCAAACAGCCATTGCTTCCAAATGATAACCAATTTTAACTGATAAACGTTCTAGAAGAAAATTAAATGCATAAGATCTATCTACAAAAGATATTTATATGATACAGTTTAACTTGGCTGAAAGACTAGGAAATGCTATTATAACATTGTTTTAAAAAATTTGAGCTGCTAGAAATTATTATAACACCAGTCAGTCATGTGAAAGATGTCACCGTCTATCTTTTGAATTATTTTTGGTATGAGGGAACTGTTATGAATCAACCCCAGCCCAATAAGGATATCAACACACAAATAGCTATTGGGCCGAGAACAAGCAATAAGGTCAGGCTAATCTAGGATCCGGGTCGAGTAGTGAGCCCAAAAATTATTCTATTAAAAGAGTAGTGGCCGGTGATTTTGAGATTATGCATATTGTTGAGAACTCTGCTCCCCTTTCGTCTCCGTTCTTGTGACTTCTTCCTCTGGACTATCTCTTTATGTTCTCCCTCGGCTCTCTCTATCCTTCTTCTCTGAATCTCCTTCTCAGTTCTAGTTTCTGTTATTGTAATGATTGACTCTTTGAGTTTATGAATTAGACATATCATTTCCCTCGTTTACTTTGTGTTGTGATTCAAGTTCATTACATTGGTGCTTTCATCGATTCGGACTCCAATGGTAGCGGTGATACTAGATAAATTCAGCAACGGCACCCCAGAGAGCTGGGTTTATCAGGCGGAGCGTTACTTCAAATTCCTTGGCTTCTCCGAGGAAGACTGGTTACCTCTTCCTTACTTCTACCTTGAAGGTGAGGCCCTCGCTTGGTTTGATTGGCTATATCGTAACAAATAGTTCTATGATTGGAACCACTTCAAGGAGAAATTGTTTTTGCGATTTCGAAAATGGACCTTAACATATTCCAATAGGAGTGTGGCTGATTCATCCCTGGCTTATCATAGCTACGTTAGCTATGCTACTTTGTGTTCGTCTGAAGCCCAAGTATCTCCCTCACCTGATTTGAGTCATAATTCCAACTTCTATGGGTTAGAATCTACACTCAAAGTTGGAAACTCAGAAGCGAAGCATGTGTTCGATGAAATGTCTACTAGAGTTTTCACCAAAGCCGTGGATGAAACTTCTTTTGTTAAAGCAGCATGGCAAAGCACAGATGCACACGTCTCTATCTCTCACTTTTTAGCTGATTTGAACGATAACCAATCACCTAAGGTGTTCAACGACATGTTACATAGTGGTTGTCCGAAGGTATTCGAAGGGGTGCAATCAGATGCTACAATCGAACTGCCTGATGCTGAAGCTACAATTCCTGAAAGCAGCAAAGTCCAACTGTTCGATGACAGTTCCAATAGAGACATGCCAGAGAGGTACGTTAATACGACTTCTCTTGATCGTGGCTCTAGTGAACGGCAAAATGAATTTGAGGTCTTAGAGGACATGTATCTTGCTGACTTTTTTATGGGACCACAAACTATTGTGAATCTATATCTTGATAAACTTTTTATGGAGAATGGGGATGGGATTTCGATAGGTAAAATGCCTTCGGATGAAACGATACCGGATGTTGAGCATGGAAACACTAGTGGGGCAGTAGAACATGATGAAGGTATTCTATTGGTGGCGAGTGTACCGCATATTGCTTTCTCAAGGAAATTCGATAGTACTTGTAAGGATTACTCGACCATAGTTGTGGACAATTTCAAGGAAATACCTGAGAAATCAGCTTGTCGTATTGATAACACTTTCACTTATCAACGTCTTTCGAATCAATTTCCATTTAATCCTGGTGTAAATCTCGCTGTGGTCATTGTTCGTGGAATTGCGATGGGTTTTTGTGTAGGAGATCCAGGAATAAGTTTCAACTTCAAGTCTCTAACAGGTTATACAGTGAATGTGGAGCCACTGCAATTGATGGGATCTACTGACATATTTTTATTCTTTGCAAATATTAACTCCATAACTACAGCGTGGGATCCCGGACAAGAATGGTATTCGAATGCCTACATTTTGTACTTTGATTCGATATTGGCTGCAACTGTATCTCCAGCTTTTCATTATTGTTATAATGCTGAAAAAGACCCTTCATTTGACTTAACAGAGTTGGAACCAAGAGACATGGTATTACCTTGAAGACTGAACCTTCTTGTTTTATTGTTTGCGTGCAATACTTGGATAAGGATACTTCAGCGAAATACGTACCCAAGGTTATAACAGAAGCAAGTGGTGAAGTTTTACTCAAGCTAAGATATATTGAGAACGTAGAGGAACTACTTTTGCTGGGCAAGTCTTCCTTACTTGCATATTCTAACTCTAAGAGTAGAGTGTGGGATCTTGGACAACCCTGGTGTGTGAATTCCTACTTATCCAATGGGTTCTCTGTTGTCTATAACTATATTGCATTCACGGGTCCTTTAATTGCAGGGGAAGAATATAGTCCAATCTTAGATGAGTATTTTGATGTAAAACATGACATTTTGGTGGCAGATTTCAAACACATATCAGAGTGGGAACACAGTTTTAGTAATGTTCTCGATGATATTCTAGTCAAGTATGAAGCTCTCGAGGGTAACATGGTTGTGGATACATTAAATGAAGTGGAGTTGACTGTTCTATATAGTCAACTCCACTCTGTTCTTAGTACGGTTGTGAAAAACATAGCGAGAGGTGAAAAGGCCCAGTTGACAATGAAGCCACAAGATAGCGTTGGGAAGAGAAGAAAACCAACCTTGAGCTATAGAGGAACAATCTCGCCTACTGTCTTGCCAACAGAAATAAACTTCGGCTTGATCTCATAGAAGACTATCTCAAATGTCAAGCTGACCAGCATATCGCAAGATGGCACAAACCTCATCGAGGAGGGCCATGACGAGGAGAATGGAGATGAGCTTTTTGAGTTTAGGAGAGATGATGAGCAAGTTATTGTTGGGGTAGATAGAGTTGAGATGACAAGAAAGAAAAGTAGAATTAGACATTCCCATGTTACTGATTCATATATTTTTGTTGAGTTGTCCATTCAAATTGTAGTAAACAAGATGAGCTTTCCTCTACTGTCAAGGAAATCAATGCATCCAAGGTTGTGGAATGCACCAAGAGAGTTGCTTTTAGTAGCCAGGAGCTGTTGTATAACTGAGTTGGTTGGACTCTTTTATAACAGAATTACCAACTTTCAGTTGGCATCATTGGGTACCACAATAATTGGACAATTTTAAACATCCCAACAAGCCATGGGGAGCAAATTTATTGTGTGATTGTGGCTGGTTTTGTTCACTTGCTACAAATGTGGAGTTTGATATTAAAAAGAAGGCTTCATTGGCAATCTCCAAGGCTACATCTGGTAGTACTAGTGAGCAGATCAAATACCTTAGTAGTGGTGGAGGCTTTACATATGAACTCTCACGAACATGGGTGGGGGACAAGTAACTTTGTTGAGACTTTTGGCGATGTGGTTATTGCATTTTCCACAGCGTTACTTCAAGCTCCATCAGTGAACGTCACCACTATGATATCATTGTCTTCGAACCTTGAGGACAAGGTTCTTTTTGAGTGGGGGGGAGTACTGTTATGAATCAACCCCAACCCAATAAGGATATCAACACACAAATAGCTATTTGGCTGAGAAGAGCTATTGGGCCGAGAATAAGGAATAAGGTCAGGCTAATTTGGGATCCGGGCTGAGTAGTGAGCCCAAGAACTATTCTATTAAAAGAGTAGTGGCCGGTGATTTTGAGATTATGCATATTGTTGAGAACTATGTTCCCCACTCGTCTCCGTTTTTGTGGCTTCTTCCTCTGGATTATCTCTTTCTGTTCTCCCTCGGCTCTCTCTATCCTTCTTCTCTGAATATCCTTCTTAGTTCTAGTTTCTGTTGTTGTAATGATTGACTCTTTGAGTTTATGAATTAGCCATATCATTTCTCTCGTTTACTTTGTGTTGTGATTCAAGTTCATTACAGGAACTGTATAAATGCATAAAAAGAATGTCCCATTGCCAGTTGATCAGAGTCTGTTCAAACAATTTGGGATATCATCCAGTAAAGCATTCTAAATTCATTCTGTAGTATTGGAAAACTATGAAGAAAGAATATATTCACTATACAACATGACCGAGGCATAAGAGCAATGCATGTTCAACTCTAATCCTGACACCCAGAAACACGAATTGTTGATGCATTTTCAGAAATGAGAAGCAAAGCTTTTTTTTTTTTTTTTTTCAAAGAA